GTAAGAAGACCCTTGTGTGTGCTTAAGAGAGGGCTTCCAGAAGAAGTGGCACATACCTGCCTTTAGGATCCGCTGGCTTGAGCATGAGTCTGGGAGAATAAGGGTTGATGTTTTGGGCCATTTTACTGACTGATCCAATGGATGGTCTTTTTGAAGATCTATTAAGGAAACAATCACAAGAACAATAAATTCATTTTAGTTGTAAGATATGAAATCAAACTTGGCGTTTAATTAATCTTAGGATCTATAGCAACTTTTGATCAACAAGCATGTTCTGCAAAGAAGCAGAGAATAAATATAACTTTGTGGGCCTGGCCATAGATGGCTGTAACAGCTCCTCAACTCTGTCATTGTAGTATGAAGGTAGCCACAGTGAATGCGTAACTCAAGGGCCTGGCTGCATTGCAATAAAACTTTATTTACAAAACAGGTGACAGGTTGGGTTGGGCCCATAGCCAACCCGAGTTGGCCAAGCCCTCATCTAGAGAAACGAAACCTCTCTATTTGCATATTTATACTAGGCAAGGGTATTTAAAAAGTAGGTTCTGGGGTTGAGGTGGGTCTTTAAAAAAAAACCCAAATTATTATTCAAGCAACTCACCATCTTTATTACTATAACAGTTTCCCATCCTTTTTTCTTTTCTTTTTCTCTCCACGTGTCAGTCATTTGAAAGGTTTTGTTACCTATTGACCTAACTAGCAAATATTTGTTGACCTACTGTGTGAAAAGCATTTTAGGTGCTAGTGATAGAAGACTGGATCTGGGGAAATTGTATGTTCAGTAAGCTTACAGTTTGTAGGTGAGACAGAGATGTAAATGGATAGTTGTAATTTGGTGTTGGGGGCTCTAATAGAGGCATCTGCTGTACTCCAGCTGACCACCTGGCCCTGGGAGCTTGTTTTCCAGGACAAAACTGTTTCCTCTAAGTAGTTTCATGAGTTCATGTGCACGCAGGCAATTTTACATTCCATGGACACATTATCCATAATAAAACCTTAAGTAATGCTCTATTAATTGGATTGGCTTTGCTGACTCAGTTTCTTGGGACCGCCCAGAATATCCTGGGAAAGACCATCAATTTGGGGGAAAAATGCATGCTTTTTTTGGGGGGGGAAGCCAAAATTGAAACACCATCTAGGCATGTGTGCTACACCATTGTTTCCATTCTTGTATATTTGACAAATTAGGAGGGGGGCAGAGAGAGAGAGAGAGAAACTGAGAAAGAGCAACACAGTAGTTGATAATTTTTTATTTGCGAAATAATGCCATGATAAACAAAATTATCTGGTTCTTTCATCATTTCATGAAACAAACGTTATTTTGGCACCAGAATTATCAGGAAAGATATAAACTCTCTGGTATAACGTAATCTGCCTGAAAAATTGATATATGGTCTTTTTTTTTTCCCTCTCATTCATTGTAGACGGGTGGAAATTTCATTGCTGATGAGGTATCGACCCACCACAGATGAGAATTTGGGAACTTCCTGGCTAGATTTCAAATATGAATAGGATCTGCATCATCTCCATTGGCAGGGTGGTGTCTGACTGGTGATTCAACAACCTTTCCTGGTAGTGGTTCAGAAGGGGCACTTTCATTGCCTTTTTGATAATGGACGTGGCCAGAAGGGGTTGAGATGCAGTCAGTGAAGATAGTGCTTGTGATGGACAGGGATGAGTCCTTCTGGATGGTCCAGTCACCAGCGTGCAACTTCCCTTGTTCTAGTGACCAATAGTGACAATCTGATCTTGCCACCTGATCCCCCAGCTTTAACTTCCATTTCCTTTGCTGCTGACCTAGAGTAGCTGTTGAAACTAGCCACTCATCATCAAACGTGAGCCTTATCCAGGTGTCTTCTGCAGTGGCAAACGCTCATGCTGATGCAGACAACATGGTTTCTTCAAGGGAGGGAGATAGGAGTCCATCCTCTTGGCTAAGAGTAGTCCTTAGTCTATGTTCTCATTCTAAGCCACCGTTCTCAAAGCACAGCTCTCCTGGTGGCTGGATTGGAAGGGTCTTTGAGCAGCTACCCCAATGTGCTAGAACCATCCCTCTCTACACCACTGCCTACACCATAGTGTTGAGGCTGGATCACCTGCCAGATCCTCCTCTCCTCATGATGGATTCAGTTTGGGCACCACTAATGTTCTCTAATTCCAGTGCATCTTGATCAAAGCTATCTCAATTCATCAGAAAGGGTCTGATAATATTGGACTTCCAAACAGGTGTGTCCAGGATCCCTAGCCTTCTCCTTCCCCTTGGCTCCCTAATTCCTGTGTGAAACACAATCATCTTTTTTTTTTTTTCTCCCAGAGAGGGACTCTGTACATCCAAGGGCAGTGCTTTTAAAGGCATAAGTGGTTTCTATTCACCCTTCAGCACAGCCGTGATAGCCAAATTAACTTACATTTGCATAATGAAGAGGAGAAATTCATACATGACACAGAACAATAAGATTTACTTTGAGGTGACTTTCTGCCTTTCTTAGAGGAACACCAGGCAGCCTTTAAATAACAACTTCTCTTACTATAGTCTCACTCAGCCCAGTTCCTTGTTAAGTTAGTTTATTATTCAGCTAAAATGTAAGCCAGTTAGTACTCAAATTTCCCATTTAATGATACACTTTTTAAGGAGTGTACATAATTATCATTTCACTTGACTGCAGCTTAATACTCTTAAATGTGGCCAGGCTGCATTAAATTGTGGCCTACCAGCTGAGACAGTTGTTGACAACCATTCTTTAATATAATGTTTTGAAAGTGCTTTGAGATCTTCAGTTTGTCAGGATAGCAGAAATTTGAATGATTGTTTCTTTTATAGTTAAAAAATGCTTATACATTACATTTAGTTTTATTTAATTGACAAGATAAAGAGCAATGCCTCTGTGGTCAGTGAAGACCACAAATATTTGCACAGATATTTAGGTTGTAACCGGTTTACTCTCTCCACTGCAGATTCTATTACCTCTGAAGGCATCAGTATTTTTTTTAAGATTTATTTATTTTAGAGAGAGAGTGCATGCAAGAGCAGGGGAGGGGCAGAGGGAGAGAGAATCTCAAGCGAACTCCATGCTCAGCGCAGAGCCCGATGCAGGACTTGATCTCATGATCCTGAGACCATGACCTGAGCTGAAATCAAGAGTCAGATGCTTAACCGCCTGAGCCACCCAGGCACCCCTGAAGTTATCAGTGTTTCTCCACTCCTTTTCAGCTTCTTTGGACCTTCCAGTAAGAAAGAAAGAAAAGGAGGGTGTGGGAATAATTGAATATATGGCTTTTGAAACTAAAGTCTACCTGCTGGGTAGGATGAAGGAGGAAGAAATATATACAATCTCACCAAAAGGTAAAACCGTAATCAGGGAGCAGCTGTTCAGAAGAAAGGGCTGGAAGGATGTGGCAGCAAGGCCGGGGAAGCTGAAAGCCGAGGGTCGGGGTGGGGCTGCATGGGAATGGGCTCAGAGGGAGCGCACATGGAAGGTGCCTTTGAACCTCACACACGTTGAAGGCACCTTTGAACCTCACACACACAGTGCAAAAGGCTAGTTAAGCAGGGATTCCTCTACCTTGAGGAAGGACATATTTTATTTATGTCTATATAAACAGAAATGAAACATATCACTTTGCTTGTTCCTTTTTCTTGTTAGAAATAGTGCTATTTTGTGAAGATGGTCCCTTGGCTTGATTTGAGCAGATCAGATGGGATGACCTTGATTTAGTTTAAAGAAATTCTCAAAGTATCAGGCGAGAAAGCTGGCATTCAGGGGGCTTTGAAAAGAATGGCAATGGGGCCATTGCCCTGCATTCTGTGGAGGAGGGAAAAGAGGTCTGGGGAAAGGACAGGAATGACCTGTGTGACCTGAATCTGTTGTAGAAGATGGGGGGCCAGGAAGAGGGGAGCACCGGAATCAGATCTGAGCCTCTCCTCCCCTCTCCCAACTTAATGTTTTATAACCTCTTGCAACTTCCAAATGGCTCCTTGTTGTGTTTCTAATATATTCCCGGAGTGGAATTGTCCTCCTGATTCTTCCTGCTGCTGGCTCTGTTGCAGGAGGGGCTAAGCATCGGGCCCCAAAACATGACCTTCCTTGATTCCCATCCTCAAACCTAAGTCCTCAGAAAACTTGGGAGTTGAGTGTATGAATAAACATCCGTTACTGCAGCCTGAAAGCTCCAGCCAAGCACTTTTCATAACCAAGGGTCTATTTTTCCCCATATCCAATCAGTTCTGGACCTCAACAGTCTTCACAGTCAACCTCACAGATTAATTACTTCCCCTCCCCCACCACGACTACTACTTCTACCATAATGACAACTGTTATAATTAGCCGGCCTTAATGGAGCACTTGCTATGTGTCAAGCACCACATTGAACCCTTTCTGTGCATTATCTAATACAAGCTTTCCATCTAATAAGGTAGATACCCATCATTCATATAGCAAGACACTCAGAGCAAGTTCTCAGCTTCGACCTGATCTTTCATGATGTCATGCTGCCTTGTTATTTGATGCTTTGGATGCTCTGTTTCTCTGTTGGTGCTGCCTGACTTTGTCTCTGAAACCATCCCCCTCTTACTGCTTTCATGGGCTACAGATCGCCCTCTCTGGGATGTGCCTTCCTCCAAGCCCTGGAGCTCTGGGGGTGGGGGCTTCTGTGTAGCCCAAGGGGTCTCATGGCTGAAAGAGGGGTGTTTGGAGCATCTGTGCCATGCTCTTAGTGCCCTGGAAGGTCTTGCTGTCCTCTCATCATGGCGTATGGTGAAGGGCCCCAGTCGATCTCCTGGGGCTCTTTGACTCTGGTGGGCACCGCAGCTAAGCGTGTCTCTTGCTCTCCTTCACTCTAGCTGGTCAGCAGTTCCCAGAAGGCCTACCTGCAATGTCTTTGCCCACATCAGGTGCCATTCCTGCTATAGCTGCTTCTTGAGGGAAGTGAACCATCTCCTCCTACCTTCTTCCCACTCTGTCTCACCAAAGTGCTCTGATCTGTTCTCCTGTTTCCAGCAGAGTGCTGCTTGGAAGGTAGGAGGGTGAGGAATGGGATGTGACATGGAAGACACGCCTGGTGAATCTGATGGTGCCACTGGCCACTCTTGACGTCCTGACCTCAGGTAGGTGGTTGTCCGTGTCCGTGTTCTCCTTTCTCTGGAGGCACTCTGCAGCGTAACTAATTCAACAGCTACCATTCATAGGATTAAACACATCCACTCATCACTTGATGGGCGGAGGACAAACTTACCTATTTGGATCTTCTTGGTGGCGTTGTGTTCTCCAGGTACAAGTAAAAAGTAATGCCACTCCGTCAGGCTATGTGCTTTCTCTCAGGGTGAACAATTGCACTCATTTTTTCTTGTAAAGATGTAAAATCCCAGCTCTTAGTAGCTGTGCGAGAGACTAGCCAGTTGTGCATCAAACTGATTCACTTTTTCCACAGGAACCATGGCCAGACTACTTCTGACAGCCTCCTTTGCCATAAGAATGAGTTCTGGTCAACCCAATGAAGATGGAAGTGATGTATGCTACTTCTAAAGGGAAGACTCTGAGGTCTTATGGGATGGCAGAGCCATTGGATATAAAAAGTCTGGGTCTCTAAGTGAACTCCCTCATTTCCCTCAGTCTGCATTGCACTGCAACAATAAACATTGAACTTATTGTGTTCAATGACTGAGAGTGGGGGGGTCTTTGTTACAATAGCTGATTTTATTGATTTAAATGAATATATCATTGTACCAGGTCTTCCTTTCATTTTGATAAAGGTGTTGGATGTCACCAGGATGGAAATAATAAAACGGGAGGAAAGAGGGGATATGGAAAGTAGAAGAAGGAAAGGAGGGAGGGAAAAAAGACAGAATAAAGGAAGGAGAGGAGGGGGTTGGACTGGTGTTTAGATATGTCATTTTGATAAGAAAAAATACTTGCTGCAGTTATACCAGTCCCAACTCTGGATACATATCCCAGATCTTGTACATGCTCTGGCTTGTGGCTCACAGGTAGGGATACTCACCGTGTGACATATAAACACCAATAGGGACATATGGTCCTATTGTAGTCATTGAAATGTTTTCCAACCACCAAGCAATTATCCAATTCTTAGTGAACAGTGTGCTACAAATTTAACTCAATACTGATACTCCCTGGAGATAGTGTTGGATCCCATGGGTTAAAGGCTCAGTCCCACTACAGACACCAACTGCAAGTCCATTTGTGCTCCTGACTGATGGATCGGCTATAAACTAGAAGTTCCCATGATCCCTTCCTCAGGCTTGATCCTTTGTTAGAGTGGCTTATAAAGCTCAGGGAAATATTTACTTAGGTTTACAGTTTCATTATAAAGGATATGATAGAAGCTGTAATGAACAACCAGATGAACAGGTACATAGAGCAAGGTTTAGAAAGGTCCCGAGTGCAGGAGCTTCTGTCCCCAGGGTTTTGGAGGGCACCACCCCTCTGGGCAGGTGGCTGTGTTCACCAACACAGAAGTTCATCGAATCTCATCATTCAGGAGTTTTTGCGGGTCTTATCTGCAGCTCCCATCTCCCCTTTCCCTTTCCAGAGGCTGGGTTGACTGAAAGTTCCAACCTTCTAATGATTGGATGTTTTTGGTGACCAGTCCCACCCTAAAGCTATCTAGTGACCCCATGTTAAGTCATTTCATGCTCAAAAAGGGCTCCTTATAAATAACAAAACACACTCCTATCACTCAGGGCATCCCAAGGGTTTTAGGAGCTCTGTGCCAGGAATTGGGGAAAAAGACCAAATACACTTCTTAATATACCATAGGTCACCATTCCTAGAATATACTCCTCTGCCTTTTGAGGCCTTATTCTTCCTGGGAAGTATCACTCTCTCCTTATTCCTCTAAGAAAATATTTTCTCCATCTTTTTTTATTCTTTCTTTATTTTTATTTAAATTCAACTTAGTTAACATATAGTGTATTATTAGTTTCAGGGGTAGAATTTAGTGATTCATCAGTTGCACGTAACACTCCCTCTCCCCACCCACCTCCCCTCCAGCAACCCTCAGTTTGCTTCCTAGAGTTCAGCATCTCTTATGGTTTGCCTCCCTCTCTATTTTCATCTTATTTTATTTTTCCTTCTCTTCCCCTGTGTTCATCAGTTTTGTTTATTAAATTCCACATATGAGTGAAATCATATAGTATTTGTCTTTCACTTAGCATAATACCCTCTAGTTCCATTCACATTGTTGCAAATGGCAAAATTTCATTCTTTGATGGCTGAGTAATATTCCATTGTGTGTATATATACCACATCTTTATCCGTTCATTTGTCATTGGACATCTGGGCTCTTTCCATATTCTGGCTATTGTGGGCATTGCTGCTATAAACATTGGGGTGCATGTGCCCCTTTGAATCACTATGTTTGGATCCTTTGGGTAAATACCCAGTAGTGCAATTGCTGGGTCATAGGGTAGCTCTATTTTTAACTTTTTGAGGAACCTCCATATTGTTTTCCAGAGTGGCTGCACAAGTTTGCATTTCCACCAGCAGTATAAGAGGGTTCCCCTTTCTCTATCTTCACTAACATCTGTTGTTTCCTGTCTTGTTAATTTTAGCCGTTCTGACTGGTGTGAGGTGGTATCTCATTGTGGTTTTTTTTTTTTTTTTTTTTTTAAAGATTTTATTTATTTATTTGAGAGAGAGAATGAGAGAGAGCACATGAGAGGGGGGAGGGTCAGAGGGAGAAGCAGACTCCCCGCCGAGCAGGGAGCCCGATGCGGGACTCGATCCCGGGACTCCAGGATCATGACCTGAGCCGAAGGCAGTCGCTCAACCAACTGAGCCACCCAGGCGCCCTCATTGTGGTTTTGATTTGTATTTCCCTGATGCCGAGTGATGTGGAGCATTTTTTTCATGTGTCTGTTGGCCATTTGTATGTCTTCTTTGGAGAAATGTCTGTTCATGTCTTCATCTTTTTTTTAATATAATTTTTTTTCTTTTCCTTAATGTCAACTCAAATCCTATTCACTTTATAATGTCTTCATAAATGATTTTGATACATATTGATCTTTCCCCATAGTCTCACATTTTGTCTATTCTTAATCATTTTTCAACTAGCAATATATTCTATTGCTTGATATTATTTTTATTTCTGTGTATCTAGATTTCTGTGTGTCTAGATGGAAAGCTCCTTGAGGACTGAGACGGTATCTTGTTCTTTATTCATTGGGTTTTCAGGCACATAATGGATGCTGGAGACCTAATAGGTTTCCATAGTTATTACTAGGGGACAGACTTCCTATCTATCATAATTTTATGATGTTTTAACATATTTGCATGTTGATGGAAATTAAATGGTTTTTATACTAGTGAAAGTATTCACTAGAAAATTCATGAATTATGGTCTTAGAGACAATTTCTATTATTTTAAGAGAGATATGGTATTGGGAGCACAACTTCCATTTTGTTACAATATTGACAATTCTATAGACCTGTGGGCTTTACACCTCATTAGAGACATTAACAGTGCCAAGAAGTGCCCAGAAGGCAGTCAGCTTTAGTTCAAATAAACAAATGATTAGAGATGACAACAGAAATTTAAACAAAACTCTGATGGATCTTTTCACTCCTCTGGACATTGTTCTCTGTTCTGGTACCTGAAACATACATGCATTCACTCAGCGCCATTCACTTCCACGGTTTCTATTCAGCCCTGAACAACATTGTATTCTAATGGGTATCAGTGGATACACACTGGTAGGAGTTTCTGAAAACTCCCCACAAAATTATAAGAGTAACAAAGCAAAATTTCCTAGCTCAGTGGAAGCTGTTTAGGAATGAAGTAGGAGAAAAGCGAGACCACAAAAGGAGATAGGACCAGGAGCTGGAGGGTATCTGGGAAAAAGGAGTGGAGAGAGTAGGTTGAAGCCTCGCAGCCTAGCCAAAGAGCTCCGCGAGGGGGATAGGATTTCAGAAACCCCTGACAATTCCATGGCTTTCTTTAACTTAAAAGCAGAAAACGATGGCCAAAAGTGCTATTTCAATTTAAATGTGTGAAGAGGAAGCATTATGTCCACATCATATTAATTTGGGCTGTGCTCTGTGAAGAAGAACTGAGAGAGTTCCATTTTTTTTTTTTCTTACGCCCCTGAGTTTCTTAATCTATTTTTAGCTTTTGTCCTCTCAGCTCCGCTAGGAGCTGCCTTGAGACTCAGTCTATGGAAATGTGCCAGGCTCTGAACTGAGCTGTAAAGAATGAAGGTGAAGCTCTGAGCTGTTAGATTCATGGCTGGGGTTTTTACACACACATAAAATATGAATCTCAGTTGTATACAAAGCTGAACCCATCGTGCCAAAAGGATCCAGTCAAGCAGGCCTGTAAAATGAAATCCTCTTGGACTAATTTAAGGATACCTGAGTGATATGAATTGTGGCCTGCTCAAATGCAGGAAATAAAAAAAAAAATTCCAACTTGAATACATGCTTCTGTCTTGGTGCAGTTGGCAGCCCTGGTGTATGAACAATGGGAACAAAAAACAAACCGAGAAGTTAGATCCCGATTCGTTTTCCAAATAACTCCTCACCTCCCTGTTTATACTGGTCTTGTGGGTCTAATGAAATCCTCTTCAGTGAGAATTTAATACAGAGATAAACTTTTCAATAAATAAATGGCTCTGAGTTGGCTGAATGTAATGCCTTCCAGTCTGGTATAACCACTTCTCTGGAATTGGTTTGCAGAGAAGGAAAATGCTTGTAAAACCATTCCTGATAAAAGAATTAATTCACAGAGAACACTGAGCTGGAACCTCTGCCTATCAGACTAAGATTTCTCTATTTCATTCTATTTTTCACTAACCATCTTACAGGTCTTTTGTTATCTTACTAGGTACAAACGCTCAAGGTCCCTCTGACCTTCTTAAGCAAACACTTAAATGGCTATTAGAGCAATTAAATACAGTCGTATATAAAAAGGTTTCAATCCCTGTTTAGGAATTTCAGGTGGTAGAATAAGATGGACTTCGAATAACAGGTGTAACCTTAAGGATGGGTTTCATCTGGAGCAACACCCAAGCTCTTACCTTTTGTAAGAAATTAGCTTGTTAGGATTTCAGGAGGGAAGTGCATTGTCTTCAGCACACCTGAACAGGTGATCTACTTTTTCTGTAGAATATAGAAAAGAATTTCTTTGGCTGCCACTGAGTTAAGTGTCTAGGGAAAGATACTTTCATCAGGTCATCAATGGAGCAATTTAAAAATATTTTTTCCATTTTAAAAGATTGAAACAAATATTTTTGAGCCTTAGTGTTCTGGGTGTTCATAATATTCTAGGTCATGATCCTTCACTCGGTAAGTCCATCAGCATACGGAGAAGACAGCATAGTCACGATTATCTTATCAAAAATTAGGTTTCCACCTTCTCATGGTACACATGAAAATCTCAGAAGACAAAATATGCTTTTTCCTTCAATTTCAAAAACGTGACAAAAACCTACAACTTTGTGCAAATTGCTGTGGCTCATTTCTCCCACTGTTGGGTAAATTACTTTTTTCCAACCTCATGTGATCATAAAAAGGGGAGAATGATGAATGTTGTAATCAATTGTGTAAGTGGTTCATAAGGATTAAAAGTGTAGGAGAAAGTAGACATTGTTTCAAGGAGCTGTGTTATGAAACACTGAGAAATGTATTGTATATAAATATAAAGCAAATAATTACTGAACGCAAAAATAAACACTTGCTTATGATTTTTTTCCCTTAAGGAAACAATTTACCAAAAGAAAATGTGAATCTCCAATGTATGGAAAATGTGAATCACAAGGTAAGTTATAACGTAAAGATTGCTGAGTAAGCCAAATAAGAATTTTCTGGAACTACTTGCTACTGAGGTATATGCTACAGAAATTCTAAAAGAGCATTGTGAATACAGCCACTAAAATGGAGATTTTATACACACACATATATATATATTTTTTACTTTGAGGGCCTCTCTTAAATGTTAAAAGTTCTGGTTTTTTTCCTCTAGGGAGAGTTTCTGTTGTTTATAATCCCTGTAAGATAAAATTCCATTTCCTAATACACTTAATCAAAACTTAACTCTGGTGGTAACTATTTTTTATTTATTTATTTATTTATTTATTTATTTATTTATTTTTTGTTAAGAGTTTATTTATTTGACAGAGAGAGACACAGCGAGAGAGGGAACACAAGCAGGGGGAGTGGGAGAGGGAGAAGCAGGCTCCTCATAGAGCAGGGAGCCCGATGCGGGGCTCGATCCCAGGACCCTGGGATCATGACCTGAGCCGAAGGCAGATGCTTAATGACTGAGCCACCCAGGTGCCCGTCCACATTATATTTATATATAATAGAATATGTAATAATTCTAGTTTTTCAAAACAATGACAGCATAATCCTGTATATGTTTTTATATGATTTTATGATTTTTGTTTAATTTTTTTATTGTTATGTTAATCCCCATACATTACATCATTAGACTTAGATGTAGTGTTCCATGATTCATTGTTTGTGCATAACACCCAGTGCTCCATGCAGAACGTGCCCTCCTCAATACCCATCACCAGGCTAACCCATCCTCCCACCCCCCTCCCCTCTAGAACCCTCAGTTTGTTTTTCAGAGTCCATCGTCTCTCATGGTTCGTCTCCCCCTCTGATTTCCCCCGCTTCATTCTTCCCCTCCTGCTACCTTCTTCTTTTTTTTTCTCTCTCTTTTTTTTTTTTTTAAGATTCTATTTATCCATTTGACAGAGAGAGACACAGCGAGATAGGGAACACAAGCAGGGGGAGTGGGAGAGAGAGAAGCAGGCTTCCCACGGAGCAGGAAGCCCGATGCGGGGCTCGATCCCAGGACCCTGGGACCATAACCTGAGCCGAAGGCAGACGCTTAAGGACTGAGCCACCCAGGCACCCCTTTTTTTTTCTCTTAACATATATTGCTTTATTTGTTTCAGAGGTACAGATCTGGGACTCAACAGTCTTGCACAATTCACAGCGCTTACCAGAGCACATACCCTCCCCAGTGTCTATCACCCAGTCATGGTGGTGACTATTTTTGTAAGGTCATTCTAATAGGACCTTTTGCAAAAATGATGGGCCTGAGCTCAGTTTGAAGTTCAGGCTCGTCAGGCCTGGCAGGTTGCTATAGCTTCAGGGCAAAGCTGGCCTTATTCTGGGGTGGAACTAGGTGCCTGCCGACCAGAGTGATCAGAGACCTACAAAAGTCTTATAACTCAGAGCCCTCTCCCGTCAGCCTAATATTACTACAGAGTTTGCAATCCTGGTGTTAATGATTTCTTCTTACGCTGTATCCAGGGCTGGCAATAGATTTCATTTCACTTTCCTTTGTTGGCAGTGGCCGCTGGGACTGCATCTTTAAGATTGCTCAGCTGCTAAAAACATCATTGGAAAAGAGTAGTAAGATTGTCTAACAATGTCTGTCTTGGGTCAAAGCTAGATTGTATCTGACAATCTTGTGGGTTATTAATTTTACCATATAAAGCCCGAATACCTCCTAGAAGGGTACTCTACTATTTGGTTTATGGGATCCTTTTTATTTGGGTAAGTTTGTATATATGTATGTATACATGCACACATACTTATATATACATCAATATACATACATACCTATATAATTATAGATATTGGGAATATATAAATTTATGTATTTATATTTTTACACAAATCATTAAGTATAGAGCTCTACAAATTTTTACAAAGTGAACATACTGGTATAACTGCTACTCAGATCAAGAATTAGAATATTTCTAATACCCCAAAAAGCCCACCCCCATGTCCCTTCAGTCATTATGCCTGCCTTCCTCAATGATAGCAGTATCTTGAGTCCTACCACTGTAGGTTAGATTTGATGGTTTTGAAATTTAGACTAATGAAATCATAAAGTATGTCTTCTTTTTTGTCTGCCTTCTTTAACTCGACCTTATGTTTGTGAGACTCACGCATGCTGTGGCACGTGGCCGCAGTTTGTTTTTACTGCTGTATAATATTCCATTTTATGAATATACCATAATGTATTATATTGCTTATTACCGCTAATCAGCATTTGGGTTGTTTCTAGTTTGGGGCTATTAACACTGCTGTGAACATTCTTACATGTGTCCCTTGTAGCATATATGAAGACCTTTCTGTAGGGCATATGCTTAAAAGTACAATTGCTTGGTCATAGGGGATGCATATATTCAGCTTTAATAAACACTGCTAAACAATTTTCTGAAGAATTTGTGTGAATTTATACTATCATCAGAAGTGTTTAAGACTTCTAGATACTGTACATCCTGGCCACCACTTTGGACTGCCATTTTGTAAGATTGTAGTCCTTCTAGTGGGTATGTAGTAGAATCTCACTGTGGCTTTAATTTGCATTTTTCTGGTGATTAATGATGGTGAGCGTTGTTTTACATACTTATTAGCCCTTTGATATCCTTCTTTTGTGAAGTATCTCTTTGAGTCGGTAGCCTGTTTTCTTTTGGGCTGATTATCTTTTCCATATTGATTACCAGCATTTAAAAATATATTCTAGATACCAGTCCTTTATGACATACATGTATTCAAAAATCTCCCAGTATGTGCCTCCTTTTCACACCTTTATTGGTGTCTTTTGGAAAACAGAAGTACTTAATTTTAATGAAGTTCAATTTATCTATGGTTATTTTATTGTTAATAATTTTTGTCCTGGGGCGCCTGGCTGGCTCAGTTGGTGGAGCATATGACTCTTTTTTTTTTTTTTTTAATTTTTTATTCTTATTTAATCCCCATACATTACATCATTAGTTTTAGATGAAGTGTTCCATGATTCATTGTTTTTGCATAACACCCAGAGCATATGACTCTTGATCACGGGGTTGAGTTGTGAGTTCAAGCTCCACACTGAGTATAGAGATTACTTTCTGCCATTTCTAGGGTGCCAGAAGTTTTTTTTTTTTTTAATTATGCATAGGTTTTGCATTTTATTAAATGCATTTCTCCAACCACTGAGAAAATCATATGATTTGTCTTCTTTATTCTGATGATGTGATGAATTGTATTGATTTGTTTTCAGAAGTTTGGTCAGTATTACAGCCCCCAAACAAATTAAACTTGGTCAAGATGCATTTTCCTTTTTTATATTTTTGGATTTGACTGTTAAATTATTCATAGGGTGTTTTACATCTACTTTTATAAAAGCTACTGGCCAATCTTATAATTGAATTTTTTTTTCTTGTAAGGTTCTTATCTACATTTGGTGTCAAGAAGCCATAGAATAAGTTGCTAAGTATGTTTTGTTTTTCTTTCTTAGGAACCTATTGTTTTTAATGTGTAATCAAAGTAATGTTACATTTCCCTTTAATGCTCGGAAGAATTCAGCAAGCCATATGGTCCAGAAATTCTCTTTGTGAGTACAAAGTCAGATTTTTCCAGCATTTTACCTATCTTGGCTGAATTTCCAAATTTATTGGCATAGAGTTATTGCTAATATTCCTTTATTATTTTTAAATGTCTGTAAAGCCTGTAGAACCTATCGTACATCTGCATTTTCATTCCCGTTACAGGTAATTTATGCCTTTTGTTTTCCTTGATCAATCTCGCTAAAGGTTTATGAATTTTATTAGTTTTTTTTACATTAAGTTTGATCTTGATTTTCCTCATATGTCCCTTTTCTTTCTATTTCAGTGACTTGTGCTCTTTTCTTCTTTAAATAGATTTTTGTTTAATTTTCTCTTTTTTCTCCCAGCTCCTTGAGATTGATACTTAGATTAGGCATTTTTTCCCTTCTGTATGCATTTAAACACTTACTAAATTTCCCCCAAGCTTCACTCTAACTTCATTCCATAAAATTTGATTTTTTATGTTTTTGTTTTCATTCAGTTCAAAATATTTTTTAAATTTCCTTTAGGATTTCTCTTTTGGCCCATGGCTTAAATAGGAATAGATTGCCTAATTTACAAACGTTTGGGGTTTTTTTCAGTTATTTTTTGTTTTTATTTCTTATTTAATTCCGCTGTGGTCAGAGAATACACCATGTATGATTTCAATACTTTGGAATTTTTGAGACTTACTTTATAGCTCAGCATATGGTCGATTTTGATAAATGTTTAGCTTACACTAGAAAACAATGTGTTTCAGGCAGATGTTGGATGCAGGATTCTATTAATGTCAATTTGGTTAAGTTTGTTAATTGTGTTTTCAAATACTTTACTCCTTTAGTCATTTTTGGTCAGCTTTTTACCTCAGTTACTAAAAGAAGTGTATTGCAATCTCCAAGTATGATTGTAGATTTATTAATTTTTTTCTTATATTTCCTCTTATTTTTGCTCTGTTTCTATGGTATTTCCCTCACATCATTTCTCATGTTATATATTGTCCTTTTATTCTTTTTTGATTAAATTAGGTGATTTGTCTATTTTGTTAAGTTTTAAAAACTCAGGATTTTGATTTTTAATTAAAAATTAAAAATTTTCTATTATCTAACTTATTAATTCCAATTCTATTTTATTTTTTCCCTCTCTATTTCTGTGTGTGTGTATGTGTGTGTGTTTGGTTCATTTTGCTGTTCTTTTTCTAACTTCTTGAGCTGAGAATTTAATTAATTTTTTTGCTCTTTCATTTATATTGATAAATATATTTAAAGCTAAAAACTTTTTTCATCACTGCTTAACATGGATCCTACAGATTCTAACTGCAGCATGCATTTTCACTTTCATCCAAGAGTTGTTTAATGGAAGTTTTTAAACTAACAGTTAGGAAAGCAACTTTTGTGGTTCTCTTAATTCCTAGTTTTGCTGCACTGTGATCAGATAGTGTTGATCG